GATAGAGCCGGCTTCCAACTTTTGGTCGTTCTTCGGGGTGAGACGTAGTTCCCCAGAACCGCCGCCTCCCGGGACCAGGGTCAGGGTAGGGGATCCGGACTCGACCTGGCGCACTGAGGTGACGTACTGAGGTGGAGCGACCTCGTGTTACCGTCGTTCTTGCTTGAAGTCAAAGGAGTGGGGCCCTGACTGGGAAGGACTCTTCGGCGTGGAGATTTGCTGGGACCCCGACTGGGAACTCGTCCCAACCCTGGAGTAAGCCTTGGAGGCTTCGGGGATTTTAATGTCGTAGCTGCCGAGAGTTTTGAGTTCCGGGGGAGAAGGGTAAGATGAAGGAGACTATTCTTTGCCCTTTTGCTTTTTGGGGGGGGGCGGGTACAGGGGATCGAACTCACAACCTTGCGCTTGCGCGACGGGCCCAGTGCCACTCAGTTAAATTCCCGGCCCTCCTCTTTTCTCTCTAATATCTTGGGTCTTGTATCTGCACCGTGGCTGCCCTAGGGCTGGGCGACTGTCCTCCCGTCCCTTTCCAGCACGTGGCTCCCTGTGCTGGAAAGAGTGTAAAGTGACCAGAACAACCTCCGCATCCTCTTTCCCAGTAGTGATGGGATCATGAGAGGAGGCGGGTGTGTGCAAAGTCTAAGTGGCCCAGGCCGGACTCGACCTTTCCAACCTCCTGCCTCAGTCTCCCAAGAGTGGTGCGATAACAGGCGTGCACCACCATCCTATTTCTTTCTCTTAAGGCCTGAAACTATAACGTTAATATAAATGTTACACTTTGAGGGCCGCACTGGGGATTGGGACCTAGGGGCGCTCTACCAATGAGCTACATTCCCAGCCCCTTTAAGTCAAGATCTTACTGAATTGCCCATGAGGCTTTGAATTTGTGATCTTCCCTCCTGAGAAGCTGGAATTAGAAGTATATGCCACCACTCCCGGCTTGAATTTCATAAATTTTAATTATCTACTATTCCTGAGTAGGTATGCCACAAAGGTTAACGACTGGGTGCCTACTCTTACACAGTGTCCCACAAAGTGGAAAATTAGAAGAGACAATCTGGGAATCTCTCAATTTTCAGCTACTTTACTCACACACTGTAGCCCAGAAAATCTGAACACATTCCCTGACTTACAATTTTGCCCCCCAGATCAAGCTTTGTTGGATAGCAAAAATGTTAGTACAGCCTTAATTACTGTCTTGTCGCTCTCTACTCAACCTCTCCTGGGCTGCAGTTCTTCCTTTTACGGTTTTTCATCAGGTGAGTATCTTCACATTACAGCCATGTTTTTGCCTAGGACATTGCCACATCCAGATGACATCACTTCAACTCAAAACTTTAAGCTTTTAAAAATATGGACTAATAAATGTATAAACATTACCCACAAAGGAGGGACAGCACAGGTTTTTTAAAAAGACTATAAATGGAGGATTAAATATTTAATATTTATGAAACCTCTGGCAAGATGTCCACACATTGCTAGTGCTAGATAAATATCAATTCTTTTAGTATCTGGATGTCTCAAAATATAAAAAAGGGGGCTGGGAATTGGGCTCAGTACATAGGCACTGGGTTCAATCCTCAGTACCAAAAAAATATAAAGAGAACAAACAGAAAGGTACATAGAGAACAGCACAGCTGTGTGCATACTTTGGCTCAGACCGTTTGCTGGGTACTTTTACCAAACAAAGTGACTGTAGAGGTAAGGAAGGCATGTCTGGGATCATCCTTGCCAGTGGATAATACAGCCACTGGTCTGCAGTGATTATTCCCCCTCCCTCTGCTAACTACATTCGTTCTTTGACATTCAGCCATAATGTTAGGAACACACCTGTTTTGATTTACTCAAAAGTGTGACTTTGGTTACAGGCAAGAGGAAAGATAAGCACTAAGGCCTCCCCATAGTTATTTACCTGGGTGCCAACCCTCCCACTGGAAGCCCGCCCCACTCATGCTCGTGCCCATACACACACATACATACTTCAGACTCCAGGCAAAAATGCTCTTGGCCTGATATATTGTCACTTTAAGAAAAATCACAGAACACTAGAGAGGCAATGTGATCTGAAATGAAAGGTGTTCTTTTTGAACCACCTGCCAGATGCCATGCATTAGACTGGTTTTTGGCTTGAGATTTTTGTTACTGCTTTTTTTTTCTACTTTTTTGTACCTCTAAGCCTATTCTCTTATCCCACAGACACTAATGCTGATAAGTAAATCTACACATGGTCAAAATAAGAATTTGAACCTGGTTTTGATACCAAAGTCCAAGAGAACTCAATTCAGCTGTATCCACTCTTACCTTCTGTTTACACCTATCTACAACATTTATGAGTCAAAGAGACCAATGTTACTTTTCTTTTTTCTGTTCTAAAGGAAGCTAGGAGCTCACTGCTTAGGAACAGATCTAGACTCTGAGTGGAGAGATGAAGGAGTAAAAGAAGCCTTATTTCTGTGAGATTCATCACTGTCAGGGTGAGAAGATGCAACAACATCGCTTCTCAACCTTCTGGCTAAGGTCAGTTGTAGAAGACAGGCAACAAGATTCAGCAGCATTAAGTGGAAGTAACACGTGCGTTGGATCACAGCATCTCAACATTGTGTCACTTGGGAATCAGTGCAGCTACAGTCCCTCAATAGGGGATGGGTCTAGTCAGAATGGGGTAGGATCCAGCACTGCCACAGGCCCTGTCCTCAAGACAGGGGAAAAAAATCATTTTAGATCTATTTACATGGGCCACCCATTCTGTTTTTTGAGCAGGAAAAAAAAATCTGTATATTTTCCTTCATCTTTCTCCATAATCACAATTGCAGAATTTGATCATTGTAAACAAGTAAATATATGGAAGTTGGTGAACTAGCAAAGTCAGGTTTTTTTGGAGGGGGTAGTAGTAATTTCTATAACAATTTTCTGTGGAATCATCTTTAAGCTACAGGAAATATTAGTATTAGCTTTAATTATTTATGAGGTCTACTTATAAAAGCTAATCAAGGGGCCGGGGATTTAGCTCAGCGGTTTGGTGGCCTGCCTTGCAAGCGCAAGGACCCAAATTCGATCCCCAGTACCAAAAAAAAAAAAGCTGATCAAGGATAATACACTGCCTATTAATCAAATCAGGTAGAGCATAGTTGCAGCCTTATATCAGCTACACTCATCAGCATGCACTATGAATTATTTGCACAATTCCAGAATCACTCTCCCCTCAGAACACAGGAAACTGCCAGGTGAGGCAAGGACTGGTGCCTTTGATCAAAGGAGGACCTGCTCAGGGCACAGCTTTCCTTTTCCTCTCACCTCATAGCCAGTTCCCTATATCAGTTACTCATGTTTCTAAAGCAGTTGGGAAATACCAAGACCTTCCATCTATTGTGCAACTGATGCTCTTCTCTCACCCTCTTGCTTTCCAATGACCTTTTCACTGTGTCACTGCATAAGGCCTCCTTTTGGTACTTGATGGGAAGCTGGTCAGAATACAACCAGCTATAGAGGAGGTATTTACTTTGATAGCCACTTCACCTTGACCAGTGAAGGCAATTCATTTATTGATAAAACATGCCTTGAGAGTATACTCAACCAGTTATCTTGGGAACACAATCAAGGGTAAGGTGTATTTCTCGCCCTTGGGAAACTCATAGGCCAGTAAGGTAGTCACAAGAACAAGATAGAACATGTCCAGTGATGAGGATGCTTGCAACCAACTAGTGATAGAATCCGAAAAGAAGTATCAGCCTATTGCCTATGCATAACTATCTCCTATGTTCCTTATGGATATTACTAAGATTCCACTGTGAGTAATTCATTCCTATGAAGTAACAAAATGTCCAGAGATTACCTGTCAGAATAAAAATTCCCACAAGAAAATACACTAAGGATAGGTAGATTTAAATAATAGCACCAAGTCTTTTAGACCAGGAACACTGTGTTGAAAAGGATTCTGAGGTCATGTTCCAGCTCAGAAGAGGATGCTGCCATGAGGGAAAAAGATGGGGAAGACAGCACTTGTTCTGTTCATGAGCAAAATCTTTGTTTAGGGTATGCATAACGAAGCACGGGAAAGCCATAGTTTATGGATGGTCAGGAAAAGGCCCACTTGGAAAGTGGGTATCTACTTCAACACTGAGCATTCACCATCTGTCCCCAGAGTAGTTTTAAGTTTCTCTCTTCCCAAATTCTACCTTCTTCACTATTCCATGCTCACCAAAACTGGAAGTGGTGTTCCTATGTGTGCGCCTAAGATCCACAGTGTACTTTTAATACAGTCTGGCATCTAGCAGGAAGGATCAGGCATAGACCCAAGGGGGAGAGGCTTCTATGTGTCCATCCACTTTGCCCTCTCCCATCATCCGTAGTTATGAAGCCCTCTGTTTTGTGAGGAAAAGCATTTGGACTCAGCTCAAAGAGCACAGCTGACTAAGTCTAGCCAATGAATTGTGAGTGAAAGCCTCCAGGAAAGCCTTCTGAAGAAGCTTCATCTTTTCTCCTTCTTGGTATGTGAAGGACAGGATGGCTGGAATTTTCTTATGTACCTTGGCATACCAGATCTTGAAAATTGAACCCATGGACAAGATATTACTTGACAAATAGACTATTGTATAAACCATTGTTGCCTTGAATTCCCAAGTTATATGTAGCTAAACCTTATCTTGGTCTGGCCAGAGTTCCATATATTTTACTTAGCTTTATGTATTCATGTTGACACCTTTCACTGATTGGCCCCCAGATAATAGGGACACCAACCAAGAGCTGTAGGGCAGTCATAACTGGCTCCCCGTAGTAGTACAGGCAGCTAAGTTAGATAGAAATTAACATACAGTCAGAAAGGGACTTGGGTCTAAAGAAAGTCAGCAGAAAAAATAACAGAATTGTTGCTGGAGGCACATCTGAAGACCAGGCTTCACGATAAAGATGTAGTGATCAGACCTAGAGGCTTCCCCTAGGGGATAAGCAGTAACTTGGAATTATAATTGGTATCACCTGTCCCAGTCAATTCCAGATAGACATCAGTCATCCAGGTGGGTGACCAGACCATCTAGACCCATCCTTTTTCAAAAATGCCTTTGTTCTTTCCATGTACCCTCGCTACCAGACCTGCTTCTCTATTGGATCGACATTAAGTGGCCATACTTGTGATTTATTGATGGACTATAGTTTGACCCACATTGTACTCACCTCATGATTTTGTAAGCACCTCATGATTTTGCTCCTTAAATCTTAGAAAAGTGGCCTTAGTGGCAGCCCACTTTCAAATCCCTTCCTTTCTCAGGAGCTATCTCAATAAATCTTTCCTGCTCTGAATCTCTTGTTCTTCAGAATTCATTCTTCTATTTTAGGTGACACAAACTTGACATATCTGATACCTAGCAGATTGGGAGTTAACATTTTTCCCCTATATCAGTAGAAGCCAGGATTCAGTGAAGTGAGGCAGTTGGCAAACACTCTAGAGCTAAGGTAGGATTTTGGTGGCAGAAGGAAGTTATCTGTCCAAAAGGCATATTAATTCCCCTTAAGGAAAAAAAATTACTACGTAACTGTAAGCTTCTAAAACAAACACTTTTCTGATTGCTTTTGATACCCATCGCAGTGCTTGGTATCTAGGAGGTACCAGGGACTGTTAATCTGAGTAAGAGACTGGGAAGCCACCTGAAAGTGCTACTTTTTTAAATTCCTACAGTTTTCTGGTAGTTTTCTTTCCATTTTTTTCTTTCTCCGCAAGGGGAGGGGAAAAACCGAATTAGAGGCAAGGCAGTGGGTTCACTAGTACTGAATGTAGAAAGCTACAGTTTCAATTGTTAATTTCCTTTCACTATAGATCGAAATTTTTGGAAAGTATAGTGGACCCTTGACTTACAAACTTGATTGGTTCCTGAGAGCAGATTTTTGGTTGTAAGTCAGTACAGCTGAGATCTGGATGTTTACCTGGATATGCACTATAGATAACGAGGCAGCTCAATCTTCCATTAATCTAATTAACCCATTGTGTGCCAGGCTTAACTTAAGGGTCCACTGTAGTTTCCTCATTGTATTGTTGGCTCTTGAGATTCATAGATTCCTTTTAGCAACAAATAGTATGTATTGCCTTTTTAGTTTGCTTTCTTTAATGAACCAGGAAAATAACCTAGCTGAAATGGAGTTGTATTCATCAGAGCTTAGTCCTGACTTTTATTGGAAGAAAAATACTAAAAGTATGATTTCTTAAGTCATCTACCTAAAAGGGGAAAACCTGTGCTATTCTTTTTAACCTGCAAATAGCCAAATCCTGCAAAAGAAAAACGTGCATGCTGTTTGTGTCTGTTTCACTTTTCTGTCAGTTGCTCTCAAGTAGGGTCAGTCTACTTGGGTCTAGACATTTTTTTTTTTTTTTTATCACCACCCCAAGGAGGGAATGCTACCATCATGTAGGAGTAGAGGCCAGGGATGCTGATAAACCACCTGTAATGCACAGGGCAGCCCTCACAAGGAACCGTGCAGCCCAAAATGACAATTGTGCCAAAACTGAGAAACACTCTCCTAAATTGGCTAGTTACTTTCTGAAATATGTCATTTATACTTTACTTCAGAGCGTACATGCCCTAATATTTAACACAGTACCTGAAAGAAAGTGATAGAAACTGCATTCTATAAAGAATTTATCTATGTTAGCTTCTCACTGAGAACTATCTAAAAAGAAAAAATAGGGCTGGGGATTTAGCTCAATGGTTCCGCCCCCTGCCTCACAAGCCCAAGGTCCTGAGTTCAATCTCCGGTACAAAAAAAGAAAATAACAAAGATTGTTAACTTCAAAACACTTCTTTAACTGTACCAACACTTTTTAAACAATCATTCTGGCTCCAATTTTTTTCACATCACTAAAAATATATATGTTAGTATGGAAATCTGCCTAGTTTTGATATGCAGGACTATAACAAATTTTTCCTTCTTAAATTAAGAGAGAATATATCCTTTATGAGTTTAGAAGGCAAGGAACCTTTCAGAACACTGTTGAGATGATGTACACGCGTACACAACACCACTGGACTTCTATTTAGAGCCAAAGGTAATGACATTTTCTTCATATTAGCTCTCGTTCAGTATTTTGTTAATGTTTCCCCCTTTTAATGGGGTAGCAGAGATTTTCTTTGATTTTTTTTTTACACTTCTACCATAATGAGCTCATAGCTATGTATAAAAATTTAGTGGCCTCCATTTTTTTTTTCTGTAGTATCAAATGTTTTACCATGCCGTTTGAGGATTTTTAAGAACTATTTATAATGACTGCAAGCCATATCATTTAGTCATAATCAGTTTAACCATTCTCCACTGAATGGATTTTCATTTGTTTCTTTTTCAGTATAAGAAAAAAAATGTTTCTCTAATAAGCACTTTTATATGCTGATCTTTGCATCTGCTTATTTTCATAAAATTATTAGAATTGAAATATCTAGGTTATTTTGACCAGAAAGGAACAATTTAAAGTTTCTTGATAAATATTAATATATATTTTAGAATGTGTATACCAACTACCACATATAATTGTTTCTTTACTGATATTCCAACATAAAAAACTTCTGGCCATATTAAGAGCCATAATTGGATGAGTTTCCATCACTCCTGACAGCACCCTTACATCCTGCTCACAGCACTCATGAGCACGCCTGTCTTCTTACCTGCATTTCTCCAAGTAAGTTCTGAAGGAAATTGACAGAAACCACATTCTATAGCAAAACATCCCCATTCTAAGATGTAACACCTACAAGGCATCAAGGCTGCATTTTGCAGATCAGTCTCCAGATAGAGTAATTGTCTCACTCTGTTTCCCAAAGTTGGACTGAGTAAACTTTTGCATACCTACCATAGGAAAGCAGCATACAAATGGAGGCCTATATTTTAAGCCTAATCTTGATAATTATTTAGCATATAGCCATTTTCCTTAGATCCTAATTGCTGTTAATATTCCTGTATTTTGTAGAGGGAAAAGGGAGAGACAAAAAAGTAATTTTAATCTAGCATGGTCAATGTAGCTAAAATACCTTGATTTAGTATAATTGTTTTATATGTTTTCTGGCTAGTTAATCTGTGTTTATAATTAACTCGGTAAAGAATTATAAAATAAATCAGATGCTGGCCAAAAAGAAAAAAATTTTTTTAATTAGGTTGGAGGGGAAGGAGAAGAAAAATAATTGAGATGTATTATATGCATGTACCAATACCCCACAATGAATATTATCATAATATACTGAAAACATACACTAATAAAAAAAATTTTAAATATACGTGTTTTGCTACTGCAACAGGTAAGTTGTCACCTCACCCGGCTTGGACAGCTCTTCTTGCTGTGGTACTGGGCAGGAAAAGGCTAGTCAAAGCAGGCATTCTCCCTAACTAGTGTGACTGGAGGATGCACAGCCCTCCTCTGTCTGGTGATCACAACCCCCAGCCTAACAGGGTGCCCAAAATTCCCACTTGACCATCTTCTTGAGGAACATAAAGCCTTGAAATCTCATCTTTGATAAGAAATACTTGGAGTAAACATGTCACTGTTCTCCAACAACATAGTACCAGCAAGTATACCTGGTTAACCAGCTGGGTCAACTCCCAAGGCACTAAAGTAGCATCTATAGAACGCAGGACAGCATTTATACACCTGACTCCTTTACTCAGTAAGCTCTGGAGCTAGAGAGAAAGGGGAACTGAGAATACAACATGGGACCATTGCTGGAAGGGAGGTTCAAGCGAGAGCCACCATAGAGGGTCTAGAGCACTCAGGAAAATGGCAACAAGGACCAGTAAAATCCATGGAGGGAAGAATCACACTTCCTTCCACTGCCTTAACCTCTTACCAAAATGTATAGTTCCTAGCTTTGCCTGCAAAGTTTCTGTGTATAGTGAGAGGAAGAGGACTCAGTTACCCATCTTCCAAACCCCAAAAGTATGCATGGTAGTAATGCAAATGGAATAGAAAAGGAAACTCCTCAGAAAGTAAAAATATTTCCATTCTTACTAACAGTTGTCTCCACTCAGAAACCAATATTATTGTTTTTAAAAAAACTTGAATATTATAGATGTTAGTTGGACAAAATATGCTAAATATTACCACTTAATTTGTAATAGTGGAAACTAAATGCAACAACCTAAATACCACAAATGATGACGAATCAAGTAAGTTATGTTTCATATAATGGAATTCGTCATATAAATAAGGATGCACATCTACATTTATTGTTTTAAAAAGCATGAAATATTGATTCAAAGCAGATTCCAAAGCTGAATGCATCATTTGCTCTGTTTATGAAAAGCTATATATATGTGAATATATATGCAAAGAGATGCTTTTAGGAATAGTTTACAAGTGGTTATCTACAAAATACATAAGTTATTTGATTTTATTTTCCTCTGTCCTTTTCTTCTACTTTAAATCCATTAACTTTTCCAAAAGCAACAAAATATCTTTTCCCTCCAAAAAAGAGTTGCCTACCTGAATCATTTTACTTCAAATGCTTTCATTCTGATAATCCAAACCATTGTAGTTTGCTAAAACACAGATGAATTGTAGAGTAAAGTCCATGCCCATGGTAGAATCTTAAGCGGGAGTGTACCTGATCCATGGCTCTAAGACTAGAAAACAAGTGGAAACAACAGTTCTGATGCAGAAAAAGTAGAAACTGAAGTGTTGGCACTTGATATAGAATCCTAAATAAACTGGTAACATTTCTTGCCTTTAAGCACTGAATATATTCTATATTTTATTTAACTTTGAAAATATATTAGGTATGGTGCTGTTTGGACTAAGGTGGCTTCTGTCCCTTTACTTAAATTCTGTCCTTTTGAAGGCGCTGCCACTTCACTCTTTTCGCATCCCCTTTGCCCCAAAGCTGTACTGTCAATAACTGAAAGTGAGCAAACTATGTGCAGTTTACCTGTGCCTTTTAATTATTAAAATGTTTTCAAAGGTAACATTTCCAAAATGTAAACTATAGTCTTCTCCATTGAAAACTATACTCCAAAGGTCTAAACTTGAAAGATAACTAAAATAATCTGATATACCAAGAGTGAAAAAGAATAACCTTAAACCTAGTAAAGTAGGCACAGTTCCTCTAAGAACAAGTACTTGGAGGACCCTGGTCCATGTCCTAAATGAGATGATTAGCGGTTACAGTACCTGCTTTGTAAAACCAACTTGGCCTTGTTAACTACTCATTTTGGAATCCAGATCTCCTGCTGCTGGGCTAATGCTTTCTCCTGTCCATCACCCACTCGAGAAAAGTACTGCTGCTGCACTGAAATTAAATGACATGATTAACACTAATCCGAATACCTGTACTTTTTCTGCAGAACTACTAAATGTGAACTTAGTTTGTATTGAAACACCTATAAACAAATTATTTTGAATAAAACTAATTCAACAAATCAATACAACAGAATTACACCAAAATATATATATATAACTCTACTGTGGTCTTAAGGAGCTGAAGACTTCCCCTGAAAGAGAATTTGTACGCCAGGAAGAATTAACTCTGAAAATAAGCAGCAAACCCAGTAATTTCTCTAAGAAACAAGAAAATGGAAGCAAAGTTGTATAGAGAGACTTAATGGGAAGCTTAGAACCAAAAACCTAAAAGCCCAGAAAGAGATTTTTTAAAATTATGTAATATGTTCTTTTCATGACTAAAGTTTTTTTTTATAAACTTACGAAGTGAGTCTGAAGACTAATAGAAATGTTGGTTTATTTAACAGTGGTCTTATAACACTTTGGGATGATTCTAATTCTCTGAATAGTACTTATGTGTGCACATTATATATAGTTAGCACGCTGAAGACCACAATGAGACTATCAATTAGTCCCATTCACATAATTAGTGAACGAGATTGATCTTATTTTATTTTTGCACTAGGGATTGAATCTTAGTTCCTACTCATGCTAAGTACGTGCTGTACCACTGAACTACACCCTCAGCCCAAGAGATTGAAAATTTAAGTATCAACGTACTATAAATATGTAAATAATTAGCTAGCTAAATAAGTAAATTGTCTACAAAAACTGGTTTAGAGATTCAAAGTCAAGGACATCCCAGTTCAATCAGGATGATCACCACAGAGGAGAGGACCAAATTTTGATTTTAACTAAAAATGTATAACATTATATTGGTAATGCTTTTTATTTCCTTTTCACTTTAAAAACCAACTTTGTTGTTTTTATTTTTGGTACCGGGGATCGAACTCTGGACCTTGCACCAAGGTAGGTGATAGCACTACTGAGCTAAATCCCCAGCCCTAAACAAGTCAACTTTATTGAGGCACAGTTTACCTTAAACAAAATGCACCCTTTTAATTACAATAATTTCTTAGTTCATGAATGCTTCTGTTTTCAGAAAATTTGGTTTGCTAACAGAAGCATTTGGCAAAATTTTGTTTAGTTTGCAAACTCCACATCAGGTGACAAACACAACTGTTGCCATCTTCCCTGCATGAACATGAACACAGCCATTTTTCCCAGAATTGTGGAACAAATTAAGTTCATGAACTGTTACCACTGTATATGTGTTGGTGAGTTTTTGAGAAATTGTTACATCTACATAACAATCACCTCTTCAGTCAGGATGTAGAACATCTCCTTCACCCACATGTGACCTTGTGCTCATCCAGTCATCCATCTCAGGGGAAAGTGTCTTGGTTGCTTTCTCATTGCTGGGACAAAATGCCTGACACCCACAAGTTAAAGAAGGAAAGATTTATTTTAGCTCACAGATTGTAGAGGTTTTAGTCCATTGTCACCTGGCTCCAAGGCAAGGAAGCATGACAGAGGAACATGGAAGAGAAACAGTTCATAGCATGGCAAGTAGGAGACAGTGAGGCAACAAGCTTCCCTTCCTCTTTTTATTCCATCCAAACTACAAACCAATGGGTTAGTGCTCCTCACAGCTGAGGTGGATCTTCATTAAATATATTTACCCACACCCAGAACTATACAAATCTGATCAGTGGACTAATCCAGTTATCACACCCATAAGTATCAGACATCCATGATCCAGTTACCTCCCAAAAGCCACACCTATGAGTACGAGGCCTTGGGGGCAGGGGGAGCATCCAGATATAAGCCATAACAGTCTCCCTACATGAGTCTTGCCCCAGGTAAGCAACAGCTATCTCTGAACAGTGCTCCTCTGTCCCTCGACTTGGTCTCTACCCATCATTATCATTCCCCACACTTTGCCGTAGGAGTCCACCTCTAGGACCTCACAGTATTTCTTCCTCCAAATCAGCCAGCCAGGACATGTGAAATAGAGCTTTCACTGAAACATGCTCCCCTCTGCCATGCTGGCAGACACCAACTGTCACAGAGCAGGTACAGCCTTCATCCAGTTGTGGTTCAGATTTCCAGATTTAAAGACAAATCAGTTTTTATTTTCCTGATCCTAATCCAAAACTGGCCTGATTCAAGGTTTAAATCCAACAGATTCCACAGGAAATCATTTAAATATGTATAATTCTCAATAATGCAGCAGACTAGAATAGAGGAGAAATAGATAGTTCAGCCTTTATCCTGAAAGGTAGGACATCTGAAGCAAGAGCATTTGGTTTTGTCCACTGCTGTGTTCCCAGCTCCTGGAACAGGACCTGGGCATAATGTGATCAGAAAGTGTTTGCTCAATAAATAGAGAGCTCCTCATAGTGTCTCAGTTCTTAACACCCAATGGTCTTTCTTTGATTAATGCTATATTCCATTTTATATGCTTATGCATTACATAAATAACAATATAAAACATCATTAAGGGACTTTAGAAACTTAGTTCTCATAACCTTAATGTACAAGTCTCTCAAATCACGTTAGAAAGATACAATTATATCGGCTTGTAAGTCCTTTTGATTCGTGAAATAAGGAACTATGACATGTACTTTTATAGAAAGTGCTTTTCATAACAGAAGAATGGAAGCAATAATAATGAGAAGCTTTACTGGGTAAAATCAAATTATTAACAAAATATGGTGCAGAACAAGTGGCTTAATCAAGATAAATCTATTTCCTCACAATTCTAGAAACTACAAGCCCGGTGTCAAGGTGTCAGCTGGGTTGATTTCTTCTGAGGGCCTCTCTTGCTTGAATGTGTTGATCGTCCTCTGCTATCTTCACATGGTCATGTTTCTCTGTATCCTAACCTGTTCTTATAAAGACTTCAAGCATATTGGATTAAGACCTTCCCACATTACCTTATTTTACTTTTATCATCCCTTTAAAAGTCCTGTTTCCTAACATGGTCATATTACGATTTATTGGGAGTGAGGACTTCACCATAGGAATTGAAGTGAGAGCATAGTTCAGTCTGTAACGAGTATGAATAGAGAAAAAAATAATATGTAAGAGATGCATTTGTGTTAAATCACTGTAGTACCTTGGCAAGCTAAACTTGTAATTTTATCAAATTTATTTGCTGCCAAATATGGAGAGCTAACATAGAGATATGAAGTTCCATTGAAACTTCTAGAGACTATTTCCTTAAAACTTAGGAGCTGCCTTATAATCTACTACAAAAGATTTAGGCAGTTGTCCCTGTCCATCTTCAGAAATGTGCCTGCACTTGAAATCATAAATTTTCTTTATTCATATAAGTTTCATATTTGTAAATATTGAGCCACATGCTTTTCTGGGGTTGGGGTACTGGGGATCAAACTCGGGACCTTGCCCTTGTGAGGCAGGTGGCAGCACCACTGAGCTAAATCCCCAGCCCCATGAGCCACATGCTTTGTAATCTAAAACATCTATAAATACCTCAGTCATTGAATTCATGCCTGTACGAATTTTATTAATACATTTTCATATTCAGTTGTGATTGTAATAACCTATCTGGGTACTTTGTGCTTGTATTCCTCATTACTGTAGGTGTTATCTTTCACCGTGCACTCAATTAAAATCCAAGTGGATTAAAGAACTAAATATTAAAACAGAAACACTAAACTTGCTGGAAGATAAGTTAGGCAGAACTTTTGAACACATTAGCATAGGAAAAGATTTTATGGACAAATCCTCAGTAGCACGGGAACTAGCAGAAAGAATCAATAACTAGGATCTCATCTTATTAAAAAGCTTCCGCACTGCAAAAGAAACCATAAACAGAACTAAGAGAAAACCTACAGTGTGGGAAAAAAATTTTACCAGCTGCTTCTCAAAGGACTATTATCTAGAATATATAAAGAACTCAAAACAATCAGCCCCCCCCAAATATAAAGACCCAATTCAAAAATGGGCATCTGAAATGAACAGACATTTCTCAAAGAAGTAAAAGCAGCAAGTAAATATATGAGAAAATGTTCCACATCACTGGTCATTTGAGAGATTCAGATGAAAACCACACTGAGATTCCACCTCACCCCACAAAGAATGTCTGCTATCAAGAAATCAAAAAATAACAAATGTTGGCGGGGTTGTGGGGAGAAAGGAACCCTTCTCCACTGTTGGTGGGAGTGCAGACTGGTGCAACCACTATGGAAATCAATATGGAGATACCTCAGAGAGCTGGGACTAGAGTTTCCATTTGACCCAGCCAACCCTCTGCTGGGTATCTTTCCAAAAGAATTATAAGAATCATATCACAGTGATATATGCGCACCTATGTTTATAACAGCACAGTTTGTAATAGCTAAAACATGGAAACAGCCCATTTACCCATCAGTTGGAAACGATAAAGAAGATGTGGTTTCTCTATAAAATGGAAGATTAGCCATAAAGAATGAGGAATTAGATTCAGTCATAGGAAAATGGATACATATTGAGGATATACTCCTAAGTGAAATAAGTCACACATCTGTAAATACCGAATAGTTTCTCTGGTGTGAGTAAACTGTAATAAGTACATAAATTGCTAATGAGATAACCGACATTGTGAAATGGGAAGAAAAGGGCTGAAAGTCTAGGGAAAGCGGGAAGGGTAGAGGAAAGGTAATAAGGGAAAAGAAAAAATAGGAGAAAATGAAAAAATGGAAAAGAAAGGTGTGTAAAGGGGGAGGGAGGAGGGGTAAAGGGAGAGCAGGGACAAGGGGAAAAAATGAGAACCAAGACCTGTCATGTAAAGGTACAAGATCCCAATGATGAATGTAACTGTACTGTATACCTAAAATGTACCAATAAACTCAATTAAAAAAAAAGTTTTACATCTATCCAAGAAAGCCTCAGATACAGAAAACTTCTGAGATGATATTCATGACCTAACTTAGTGTACATAAACAGCTTAAAATAATTCCAGCTCAAAAATATGTTTTAAAAATGTCTTGCCAAAGTTTGGTGTTAAGATTTTAGATTTAAAATGTTCCCTTAAAGGTCTTGGGTTTTGAGATGGGGTCTACTTGGAGGGGGAGGGTCACTTGTGTCACACACCTGGAAGGGAATATTCTTGTCCCTGCCTCCTTCCATTTCTCTTTGCTTACTGATTGCTATGAGGTGAACAGTTCTCCTCTGTCATTCCCTTCCATCCTGCCATTCTCGGAGTCAACCAATCGTGGACTGAATCCTTGAAAGTTGTGAGTCAAAATTAAGTTGCTAGTGTTGGTTATTGTGTCTCAATGATGGGAAAGCTGGGCCAGGGATTTAGCTCAGTGGTTCCGTCACCTGCCTAGCAAGTGCAAGGACCTGAGTTCAATCCCTGGTACCAAAAAAAAACAAAAAAACAAAAAAACAAAAATCAATGATGGGAAAGTTGACTCAGATTTTGGCTCAGGAGTGGGACTATTGCTATAGTTGTACCTGATCATGTGGTTTAGAACCTTTGGAACTGGTGTGTGGGAGGAGTTTGAAAAGATCTGAAAATGCTGGCTAGTGAAGTCCTAGAATGCAATAAGCAGAGCTTGTGAGGAGGAGATTCTGTTCTGAATTCAGAAGACCAGAATACTGTTAGGAATGCAGATATTAAAGGCCAGCTTCAAAAGGTTTCAGACGGGAATGAGAATTGTATTGGAAACTGGACTAGAAGCCATGCATGTTACATTCTGGCAAAGAACTTTCTCTATTTTGCCCATATCCTAAGACATCATGTAAGGCAGAATTTATAATCTGACAAAGAGATTTCAAAGTAGCTGTTCAGGCTGTGACATGGGTACTGCTGGCTGCTTCTAACCATCTCTACAGTGAGCATCAGGAGCAAATTTTGCAGTTTAGCCAGAAAGAAAGTGCATGGAAAGTTAGAGCCATGGAAAGCCAGAAAGTGTGGGTGCTAAAAAGATTAACTTTAAAAAGAAGCCTAGTACTTTACAACAAGACAATAGAAGACATGGCTTAAAAGCATCTCAGGAATTGTCCAGACTCCATTTTCCCCAGACTTAGGGATAAGAAATGTGTAAACAACTTGAAAGACTCTGCTTAGAGAAGGAATCCCCAGGGAGCCCAGCTCATTGGAGGCTACCTAGGAGAGTGTTTCCCAAAGTTCAACCATTTTGACACTCAGCAGCCACTGCAGCCATGGTCCACAGTCAAACTTTTCACAAACCCTGATATCATCCTGGAGATTTTTTAGGCATGCTAAATGCAAGAGTTGTTGGGTTATGGTTGCTTCCACCTAGATTTCAAAGGAAAGCCTGGGAGGCCAGACAGTTTGCTCCTGAGAGGACAGTACATGCAGCTGTAAAGTGAAGCAGTAGGAGCAGTGGATATCACAGAAAGTTGAAGATGCCACATATATGGAACATCTGCTGAGGAAAACTGCAGTTAGCAAATGGAGGCAGACCAACAGAAAGGCAATGTGGGCTGCAACGGGCAAGGCCACAGGGACAATTGTTCAAACATTTTGGAGCTCACATCCCACCATAACCTACCTCAAGTGCTTGTCACAGACCGGCAGTATTTAATGTTTGCCATGCTGAATTTTGGTCTTGCTTTGGTCCAATTTCTATCCATTCCCTTAGTCCTCCTTTTTGGAATGGAAATGTTCACTTTATGCCTTTGTGTGTTGCAAGTTTTTAACTTTCTTTTTTATTTTCACAAGGGCTCACAACTAAGTTTGTCTTGAGTCTCAGAGTAGACTTTGCACTTGGAATTTTCAGCAATACTGAAAATGTTAAGATTTTGGCAACACTTAGAGATGGACTAAATGTGTTTCATGTTATGAGATATCATGGGTCTTTTGGGAGATAAAGGAGGAGTGTTACGTTTTAGATCTAAAATGTCCTCCCAAAGTCTCTTGTTTAGAAGTGTGGTCTGTTTGAAGGGGGTAGGTCCCTGGGGCTGTGACCTGAAAATGTGTATTCATGCCACTAGCTCCTCCCTTCTCTACCTCCTGACCACTATGGAATGAGCAGCTTTCCTCTGCCATTCCACTCAAGCATACCATTTCTGCCTTGGAGGCAACCATGGACTGAATCTTTTGAAAACTGCAAGCCAAAATAAACCCTCCCCTTTTAACTTGTTGAGTATTTTGTCCCAGTGATGGTAAAGTGACTACTACAATTGGCCATATTACCCAGGAAATTAGCATCCTTTTTATATTGCTCTTGGAAATTTAAATTGGTTCATACTTTCTGAATGACAATTTTGTAATGCTCATCAAAGGTGTTGAAATACAATAAACCTGTTGATTCTATACTCCTATTTATGTGAATTCATAAAAAAATGGAAATGAATTAAGACTTAGCTACATAGGAAATGTCCTACAGTGGTGAACATGTAGCAGAGTTCCACCATCCAGGAGAGAAATAAGAACATAGAAAATGGGCTCATCTAACTACAGTACCTATTTTGGAGCATGTGCTCAGGGAAACACTTTGTCTCCGACTTCCCACTCCTGCCCCTAGCTAACTTCCTGTCACATGGCCATGCAGGCAAAATAAGATCTAAGTGTTCATCCATGATGGGTTGTTAATTAACTTGTGATATATACAGTGGGATATAATGCACCATTAAAAATCACATTGCAAATTAATATTTAAAGGCAGAAAAATTGATGTGTGCTATTACAAAATTTGAAAATAATGGTACTTAAACCAATCATATGTACACACATAAACACACACACACACACATACACACCCCAAACACTGTATGATTCTACTTATATTAGGGAGTTTCAATAGTCAAAATCATAGGGACCAAAGGTAGAATTGGGGCTACAGTGGGCAAGGGGGATGTTGGAATGGGATGTTATTGTTTGATGGGTGTGGAGTTTCAGTATTAAAGTTGAGAAGATTCTAGAACTCTGGGAAATTGAGGCAGTTTGAGTTCACAAGTTTTGAGCCCAACTGGGAAATTTAGTAAGACATTATTTCAAAATTAAAAATAAAACAGGCTAGGGAAAGGGAAACTTTTATTTTTAAAAATAAAAAGTAGCTTAGTGCAAAGGTCCTGGCCTCAGTTCCCAGTATATACTATGAGAAAGAGAGTTAGTTTATGGAAACAAATAGTGATAATGGTTACACAACATTATGAATGCATTTAATGCCACTAAACTGTACAGTTAAAATGGTTAAGATAGTAATTTTTGTTGTGTGTATTTCACCACAATAAAAATACAATAAGCCATTAAAAATATGTGTCACCAAACAGTACGATTTTATTCCTATAACATAGAAGGGAAGTGAGGACCATTCACACCATGTTAAAGAGATTGGCAGTACAGATCATCTTTCCTTTTTGTCTTTCCAATTTTTTATGAATATTTCTAAACAGAAAATAAGTTAGTTCACCTCTTAACAGTTTACCCTGAGCCTCACTCTGACAGTGGGCTTTTTTATACATTGACTTTCCTGACCATTGCTTGGACAGGTGTCATTTCAATCGGTCGATTCTGGCATTGAATAAATTTGATAAAATTATCATTTAAAAAATTTCCTGTTATATTATCTTATAAAAATTAACAAAAATGGGCAATTTTTGGTCATCTTCTATTTAAATAATTGGACTGGTAAGTGGTTAAAAATTGTTTTAGTGCCACAAAAATTCCCCATAATTTAATCTTATTAAAAACCAGTTTTGTGGTGTCCTCCTCCTGGCAGAGGTGTGGGAGTTGCTGTATGGGTTGGGCTGGGGCAGGCTTGGTGGAGTCCCAGGCAAGGTGCCACTCCTGGAACATTCACCCTCAGACTGCAGGGAGTGCATGGAGGCCACTTTGTTGATAGTAAGAGTGGTGCATGGCTAGGAGGCCTAGAAACAGAAGGACGTCTGGGAAGTGATAGTTGTGTGAACAGAAACCAAAAAGCAACCTATAAGAATTGCTAGCTAAGGCAACAGCTCTACACCTGTGACTCAAGAATGAAAACAAATCCTTACCAAAGTTTTGCTACATTGTAAAGAAATTTGTGAAAATGGTACTTGGAGGAACCTGTATGATTTTAGGGATGAGTTTGGAAAGGCAGTTACAAAACATGCCTTTGGCATTTCCTAGTTTTTATAACATGTTCATATATAGTAGCCCATGTAAATCCACTGTAACCATTTTAGGAAGGCATGGGAGGTGTCATTATCCCCAGTCTGTGACACAGATAGAGTAAAAGTGAGCCCTAGGGTACAGCACCACCTCATCCTCTCAGGTTTGCTTTCTAGTTTCAGTTACATGTGAGCAACTGCAGCCAAAAATATTAAATGGAAAATTCCAGAAATAATTCCTAAGTTTTAAATCATTGCCCTTCAGAGTAACGTGATGAAATCTCACGCTGTCTTGTGCCACGCCCCCAACCTGAGTCATCCCTTTATCCACCTTATACACACAGTATATGCTACCCACCCCTTAGTACCCAACTTAGCTGTCAGATCAACTTGTGATATCAAAGTACTGGTGTTTAACTCTTATTTTATTTATGAAGGGCCCCAAAATGCAAGAGAAATGATGCTGGCAATGTGGATCTGCCAAAGAGAAGCGGTCGGGCTTAAAGTATTAAGTGCTTCCTTTCAGAATTATCTCACATCATCACAAGAAGAAGGGGGTGAGTACAGAACAATAAAATATTTTGAGGGAGAGACATCATTCACATAGCTTTTACTATGGTATATGGTTTTAATTGTTCCATTGTATTAGAAATTATTATATCTAACTGTGTCTAATTCACAGATTAGACTTTATCAGGTATACATATAGGGTAAAATGTAAAACTCAGCTGTGCTTGCAGGCACTCATTGGAGTCTTGGAACATATCCTCCATGGATTAGGGGGCCTACTGCACACAAGTTGGCAGCAAAGAGAGAAGTCAGGCCAAAGTTCTTGATTCACTTGAAGGCAGTTGTAGTGATCTACAGTGCCTGGAAAGAAAGGTGCTGAGAATCACAGATAAAAGCCTAAGAGCTGAAGTAAAGAGCTGGAAATTGCATATTGAGATTATGATAAGTACGCCCTCCATTTCTCCATTTCCTTGCTACCGTGCTCTCTAAAGTTGTGCCCTCTGTGATTGATGGGGAGGGAGAGAGTACACAAAACCCAAGGTAGGGCTGGGGATGTAGCTCAGCAGTACATTGCCTCCCTGACAAGAGTGAGGCCCTGAATTGGATTCCCAGTACAAAAACAAACAAAAAAAAACCCCAAGATGTTGGTTTACTTGGCAGTAAAAGAAGTTACTTTTATGGATGTTCATTTTGTAGCAAGGAAAGGTAGAAGAAGTGGCCTGGTCAACCAGAGTTGTGTTGGCAGCAGTCTGTGCAGTGCCATGAAGAGGGAGCAGGCAGTTTGCTCCTTCTACACCCCTAAGCAGGGTAAATTTCTGCTTTCAAAAGCTATAGTGCACTGGAAAGTGGGAAAGGAGCTGGTGGAAACCCAGGACAGAGGGCACCAGAACTAACAGTCCACCAAGGAAGCCTCTTGCCACGGGGACCATCTTGTGAGATTGAAGCATTGTACAAGGAAGCAGGATGCTTGCTTGCTGACTTTTCTTCTGTGCCTGATAACAAATTGAAGATGGTGTATAAAATGTGAATGTTGGGGGGTGGTGACCAGTGCTAGGGATTAAACCCAAAGCCCCACGTACATTAGACAAGTGCTGTACCAGTGAGCTACATCCCTAGCTCTAAAATGTGAATTAAAAGTACAAAATCACACAGAATATATTACAACATTAGAAACTAAGTTTTGAAAAATATGAGGAGATTCCCTGCACTTGAATCAACTATTTTAACAATAGAAATGAACCTCAGTCTAATCAAGCACATCTGTGACTTGTTATTAGAGGCCAGACTGGCACGATGGACTCAGTGATATTAATTCCAAAGACTGTGTATCAAGAACCAGATCACAGTCAGGCATTTTTTTCCCCTCATTATCCTCAGCATAAAGCAAGTACATACCAAGAAGACATTTTCTCCTCACGGAAATTACCCAGAAGTATTCGCACATCCTAACACCAATCGTCAATTAGGTGGATATTATGACTATTCTTTATTTCTTTCAAGGCCAAAAAAAATGAGGATTAGGAAAATGAAGCCATGGCAATAAAACACAGCCAAACCTTGCCTAATCTTTGTCTTATTTAACTGGGGAAACAGGAGCTCTGACACAACTGCTCACCACGCTGTTGCTCCACCATCACTGGGTAATAGTGGTCCTCCACTCTTAGTGGACCCCATGGGAGCAAACAACAGGCATGCAGATTTTTCCCAAAGCAGATTGTTTGCATCTGATATGTATTTTATATTCCTGTTCCCTCAAGCCTGCTTCAATGCCAATTTGCAATAACCTCTACACTTAAAGGAACATTGCTTCACATTTCTAGGGTAATGGCAAAGAGTTTTACATTTCATCAGCAGGGGGAATTGCAACATGAACAGTTTTATAAATACAAAATGGCAATATTCATTAAAAGATGCATGTTTTCCAGGCATGGTCATGCACACCTGTAATCACCACACTTGGGAGGCTGAGACAGGAAGATTGCCATGAGTTTAAAGCCAGCCTGGACTACACAGCAAGACTCTGTCTCAACCAAAAATAAAATGCATGTTTATTTTTAATATTTCCAGTTACATAAGGGGTAAATATAGTCAGGCAACTGGCCGTAAGCTTTTCCTGAAAATTCTGGCTTTAGTTTCCCCAAAGCAATGTTAGCTTCCATATTTTTGTAGAGGAGACAAACAGCAATGCCCTGTGAATTGTTCTCTTAGATTTCTAGTTCAATACTACACAACACTTCTATATTGTGCATCAAAATACTACATGGCATTTTATTTTATTTTATTATTTAAAGGGTTTTGCTGTATTCCAGATTGGTCTCATATTTGCTGTGTAGCCCAGGCTAGCCTCCAATTTTTGATTCTCCTGCCTCAGCCCTCTGAGAGCTATGTGGAATTTTAATACAGTAAGTTATAGAAGTCGCTATCCTCATGTTGTTTCTCCTCTGTTATGTCTGTTTGCCCTCTCTGTCTTGGAGCCAGTAGAGTATGGACTGAAGCTTCAACGAACTGTAAGCCAAATAAACCCTTTCCCATCAACTTTGGGTGCTAGGCATTTTGACTCAGCGATTAGAGAAAAGTAACTAACATGGAAATTTGGTACCATGAGTGGGATGGTTGCTGTGACATTACCTGGCCATGTGACTCAAAAGCCTTTGGAACTAGCTTGTGGGAAGGTGAAGAGTTAGGAAAGATTTGGAGAAGTCAGCTACTCTAGGACAGCTGGAATGCCTTAGGCTGTTCTGTATGGAAGAGTCTAGTCAGAGCTCAGAAGACCAGAAGGCTGGTAAAGACCATGCTCAGGAGATTTCTACTGGAAAGGATCATATTGGCTGTTGGACTCCAGCCAATGTTATGGCTTGGCAGAAGGTTTGCTTGCATTTTGTTCATGTCTGGAGATTTTACCTGAGACTAAGATAAGGGGCAGTGAACTAATTAATCTTGCAGAAGAAATTTCAAGGCAGTTGAATATTGAGGTCGTGGCATGGCTACTGTTGGGGGCTTTTGCCAGGTTAATGTTGAGAATTAAGAGAGAAAAAAAGCTCAGCAGAATGATTTAAAATGTTTTGAGTTTGGTCAGAAGAGAAGCTCCGGGAAAGCTGTGAAAGATATAGCAGAAGAGATGTGGATTGCTGAGAAGGAACAGGAGAATAGAAAAGATGACCTGAGGGCATCACAGGAAGCAGCAAGTCTCCACCCTTTGCAGCCTCAGAGTTGTAAAGGTGAAAGAGTTTGCTTTGAGAAGAAAGCCCCACAGTACCAGGTTCCAAAATGGTGGTGGCCCCCCCATGTTTCAGAATGGCAGCAGCCTAGAGAATTTGTTCCTTGAATTGGGTTCAGACTGCTCAGTGATCCAGGCACTCAACCCCTACAGCCAAGAAAGAAGGAAGCCTGGCTACTGCTCCAGCTGGCAGCAGACATTGGCATCATCCATGTGGTGCTAGTTTAAGGTACATGCAGAATACAAGAGTTGTGGGGTCAGGATGGCTTCCACCCAGATTTCTGAAGAAGGCCTGGGAGGCCAGGCAGTGTGTGAAAATGTGAGTGTGAAGCAGAAGGTTCAGTGGAGACCCCAGAAGTTTGGAGAAGCAAGGAACATGGATCCTCTCAGGAAAACAAGGGAGCAGAGCCAGCCCAAGAAGGAAGTCACAGGAACTACAGCTGCAACCTCCAGAAATGCCGCAGGGACGGAGCCACCCAACCCTTTCACATTTCACCACAGGTTGCCTTGGACACTGTACATAGGACTATTGGACTTAATGTTTGCCCTGCTGGATTCTGGACTTGTCTTGGTCCCATTCCTTTGTATCCCCATTTGTAACTGTTGGAATGGAAATGTCTATTTTGTGCCATTGAATGTTGGAAGTGTTTGACTTTTTTTTTTCATTTATACAGAGGCTTGTAGCTAAGAGTTTGCCTCAAATCTCAGAGGAGACTTTGGATTTTGCTGAAGCTGTTAGAACTTTGGCAACTCTTGGAGATGGACTAAATGCCTTTTGCAAAAAGGGATATGCATGAGTCTTTTGGGGAGCAAGGAGCAGAATGTTATGGCTTATGTTTAGATGTCCCCCCAAAGCCTTATGTTTTTTCAGAGGTAATTAAATCTGGATCCTGTGATTGACTCCTGATGGGGTTAGGCCTGAGGGCACTAGGATTAAAATAAGATATTGAGCCGGGCATGATGGTGCACGCCTGTAATCCCAGCACTCGGGAGGCTGAGGCAGGAGGATCGCTGTGAGTTTGAGAGCAGCCTGGGCTACATAGTGGGTTCTAGATCAGTCTCAACTACATAGAGACCCTGTCTCAAAAAATAAAAAAACAACAACAAAAACAAATAAAATAAGATATTGAGAGAAAACAACAAATCAGCTGCAAACAAATATTGAGGAGTGAAATTATAAAGATGAGAGTGGACATCAATGAAATTGAGACTGAACATTTAAAAAAACTATAGGAGAATGGAACTGATTTTTGAATATTTATTTTATACTGTATAAATTAGCTTAAGATTTTATGTTTTACTAATATATTAGTACATTCCTTTGGAGTGTCTATATTTAAAATTATGCAATCCTTGAGTACATATTTATTTCTTGCTTTCCAATATGGATGATGTTTACTTATCGTTCTTGCCTAGTTATCCTGGCTACTCTCTGACAGGACGTTGAATATCAGTGTCAAGAGTAGATTTCTGGTATCATTTTTGAGCTCAGGAGGAAACCACCCAGTCTGTCACGATTCTATTTCTATTTCTAGTGTGGGGAGGACTTTTATCAGGAAAGAAGTTTGGATGTTTTCCTGTTTCTACTGAAATGGCTATGTACTTTTTTATTCTATTAAGATAATATCAAAATGATGTTCAAATATTGAACCAACAATGCGCAAATCTCACCTGTTCATGATATATGATTTGTCTTATATGTTTCTGTAAAGAGTGTGATACTATTTTGTTAAAGATGGAGTTTTCATATCCATAGAAATATTTGTCTGTAGTCTCCTTGTGATATATTTGACTTTGATATCCTGGTGATATTAGTTTCATCAATGAGAAGTATTCCTTCCTTTTCTTCTTTTTAGAATAATGTGTGAAGAATTGGTATTTTTTAAATGTTTAGGAGAATTTGGTAGTTAAAGCCTGTGTCTGTGGTTCTCTTTGATCTGCTAAAAGCCATTTTGCCTTTATGTCACTAAACATTAAAGTATTTCAAATTAAAAATTAAAAAGAAGTCACTATCCTGAGGTCAAATTACGCTTAAATTAACATGTCTTTTATCCATCTCCATTTTTGGTTCTTTTTCCTCTGATCTGAGCATGTAATCTCCCCAGCCTCTGGCTCACTTCTCCCCCTAACAACCAAGCGGTTCTCAACAGATAATCTTTGCCCCTGGGAGACATTTGGCAATATCTGGAAACATTTTTGATTGTTGCAACTAAAGAATGCTACTGGTGACTAGTGGGTTAGAGGCCAGGGATTTTTGCTAAATGTTTTACAGTGCACAAGACACCCCCCAACACACACATAATGAAAAATTACCTAATCCCAAATGTCAGTGGTACTGAAGTTGATGAAACTTTCAATAACTTAACCAAACCATTCTTAATTAAAAGAGTAAAAAAGCCTTTTAAAATATCCTCAGGTATCTATATCAGGTAATAAATAGCAATCTTCTGAACCTTACATTCAAAACTTTCTTAATCTATTTCTGAACTACTGTCCACCTTAACTGAATAAAATCTGCAACCTCCTGTCATGTACTGAAGCAAAGATACTAAGAGAGAACCTTCCAGAAGCTCACCTTCTGCTGTGAGGGACAGGAAAAATTGAGACAGTGGCTGGCACCCCGTAGATATGAAGAATGGTTTCTCTCGTCTTCCTAGTTAGCTCTAATTCCGGGCTGACTATGATGAATTCAGTGAAGAGAATGAGGGAAAGTTGTCTCCCATAAGTCCCCACATAAAGCATTCTTGCCTGTACTTCATAAAGAAAATGATCTATTGATCAGTGAGCACTTGAATTTCTCAGGAGAGAGATGACTGTGCACTGAGCTACAGGCCTCTCTGTCAGCAATCATGGCTGACATCTATTTTTTTTCCAAAATGAAATTTATTCTATATATTTGTTATACATAGTAATTGTAACAGTAACAGACATAAAGAAAGTAAAACTTTCCTGTACACCACTGTTCAGAGCTCCATGTAGATCCTTCTACATACATGCTCATTTTCACACCACACACACACACACACACACACACACACACACACAGACAAATGTACATGAGCTAATTTTTTTTGAGGTTTTTGGTCTTGGTTTCTTCTTCAAAATTATGAACATATCTCAGTTTTTGTTTGTCTCTCATTGACATGGACTTTATTTTTGTATGTATTATGGAATAAGAATATAATTCTTTATTGGGCATAGTGGCACATGCCTATAGTCTCAGCTGCTACAAGAAACTGAAACAGAAAGATTGTCTGGGTTCAAGAGTTTGGGGCCAGCCTGGACCTAATAAACCCCACCCCATCCTTTAAGAAAAATTTAAAAAGAAAACAATTCTCCCCATACATGGTTCTCCACTTGTCTCAATACAATTATGAAATCATTACTTCCCTCATTGTTTTGAAATGGAAATTTTATCATATACTAAGTTGCCATATATAAAATTGTCTACTGCCAGTCTCTATTCTCTTGTTAATCTGTCTGCCAATCTTTCCATCTGGGTATGTGCTCCTCCCTCAGGATTACACTGCTTTAATTGTAATGCTTTATAATATATTTTTGTATTTAATTATAGCAGTTTCTTATCACTTCTTAGCAAAATGGTAGTCATTTCTAATTTTCTGCAACAAGTGACTCATGGAGGCCACAAATATAAGAAAAATGAATAAGAAACAATTCCTTTCACAATAGCATACAAAAAAATGAAATACCTAGGAATCAATCTAATGAAAAAAATAAAAGACCTCTACTCTGAAAACTCCAGCACTCTGAAAAGATCAAAGAGACTATCAGAAAATGGAAAGACGCCCCTTGCTCCTGGGTAAGAAGAACCAAAATTGTGAAAACAGCCATACTTCCAAAACTACTATATAGATTCAATGCAATGCCAATTGAAATTTTAACAGCATATTTCACAGAAATAGAGAAAACTATTAAAAAATTCATTTAGAACCAGAATAGCAAAAACAATTCTAGGCAACAAAAACAAGGCAGGGGTATCACAATCCCCAACTTAAAACTATACTACAAAGCCACAGTGATAAAAACAGCATGATACTGACAAAGAAACAGACCTGAGGATCAGAGAAACAAATTAGAAGATGCAGAGGCTCTGAGGATTTAGCTCAGTGGTGCTTCCCATGCCTCGCAGGCTCAAGGTACTGAGTTGAATCCTGGAATTCAATCCTGGTACCAGGAAAAAGGGGCAGGGGGAAGAAGAAGGTGCAGAAACACCTCCAAACATACTCAGCCACCTCATCTTCAACTAAGGAGCCAAACACTCTGAAGGAAGGAAATTTAATAAAGTGTGCTGGAAAAATTGGGTTTCAACTTGCCAAAGATTTAAACTAGACCTATATCTCTCACCATGCACTAAACTAAAATCAAAATAGTTCAAAGATCTAATTTTAAAACAGAAACGTTAAACCTACTGGAAGAGAGGTTAGGTAGAACTCTTGAAGACATTGGTGTAGGAAAAGAGTTCACCAACAAAACTTCAGTCGCATGGGAACGAGCACAAAGAATCAACAACTGGGATTTCATCTTATTAAAAAGCTTCTTCACATCAAGAGAAACCACCAACAGAGTGGAGACAACCCACAACATGGAAGAACTTTTCACCAGCTGTTCCTCAGACAAAGGTCTGCTATCTAGAATATATAAAGAATTTTTAAAAAATCAGACCCCCCCCAAATTTAAAGACCCAATCCAAAAATGGTCATCTGAAATGAACAGACATTTCTCAGACAAAGAAGTAGAAATAGCAAATAAACAT